TATTGGTCGCAGCGTGAGAAGATCGTTTCGTAACCAACGATTTCTCATTCATCTTATGCTGAGCAACCACAGAACAACGTTGTAAATGATGGACTGGCTGAGGGTTCCGATGAATTGATCGTTCTCCTTTTTGAACCGTCCAGATATTCTTGACTAACGTCCCGGATTGTAGGGCTTAACACTGAAGAATATGTGGCTCATAGCGTGGCCTTTTTAGCAAGCTACTGAAACCAACTGTTTACAACCTCTGATGTAGGTTAAACAAACGCCTTCTAATTTGAAAACTTTAACTTACCCACAAACGAAGTTCATGGCAAGGCTTCTTCGGCGCGCTTCAACCAAAGACGGTTAAAGTTATTTTCAGAGTGAGCATACCGTTCTGGTCACCCGTATAGTTCAGTTTCTGCGTCTTCAGTATTTTTTTTAACCTAATGGTCAGCGCCAAAGCTAAATTGAACGACTCAAGGAATTCCGTCTTATTCTGAGACATCTGTGACCACTGAGAGTGCAGAAATTCAGGTTGGGCGAAAGGATCCCGCTTAAGCCTCACTATAACATCTCGTGCTCTATGCGACGGTAAAGTTGGGGCTGTAACATCCGCAATCGAAAGGCCGCGTTTGTTATTTGGCCTACAGTCCGAATAAATTCAGAGATATTAACTAGGCACCAGCGTTGACATCGGAGAAAAAGGGTACCACACTGGTCAGCCATACCTCGGGAATGATCCCTTTGATTTGTCTGTCGAGTTGTATCGACCCCCGGCGTCATAACAACTGAACGCGGTCGCATGCTCCAATTCCATGGAGTCTGTAGGCGAAGCATATCAGGCGCTTACCCTATTTTTTTAGCTCTCGCAAAGAAACTAATGATAAGAGACTCTCAGATTATTCAGAGGCATATGAAAAGCTGTTGGCCAGTTCCGTTTAACGTATGACTGTCTGAATTTGTTATACTTGCTGATTCATCAATCTGTGGTATCTGCAGCTGACCCGCTCCAGTGCCTAGTTGCTGAAAACGCACAGAAGGGAACACAACAGCTATATTCCGAACAAGCGAGTGCGAGAGCGTGAGAGTGAGAAAAGTACAACGTTCTCAAGCTATTTATCGGAAGGACACTGTCTGAACTTGGTCCAATGCTGACGGACACGGTCTGGTTTTGGTACGAGGCTGTGACGTGCTGCATATTGCGGGGGCGTTGTCTGACCTTGATCAACGCTGACTCTCGCTGCCTGGGTTTGATACAAGGCTGTGATGCGCTGCATATTCAGCGGGCGTTGTCAGTCTGGTCAACATTTAGCGGAGCTGAGTCTCGGTAAATTTCGGGCATTCAGTGGTTGCTTTCAGGAAGCTGACCTTCCTGATAGAATTGCAATTTTTAACTTGCTTACCCTCAACGTTACTATTCTTTTAACTTTGCTGTAACTTCTGCTGACTTGGTATATTGAGGAAATTATCGTCGATGTGACAGAAAAGAATACCTAGTTTTGAAAAACTATATCAACAACGAAATATGGATGGTCGTTGTCCTAGCATGAGTACCAACTTTTGGGTTATCCGTCCATGTGGGGCAAAGTTTCAAGACGTTGAGAAGTGCATCAGCTTAATTGTAGATACGTTAAGAAATTATCCGCATTTCCGGTGAATAACCATTGAAGGTGTGAAAATCTAAGACCCCTTAGAACAAACTTCCACTCTTAAAATGAAAAGAACACATCAACCGTGGCAGTCATCTCGAGAAACGAGGGAAAAATCTAACAAACTAGAAAAAGTCAACCTGGGAAGGGTGGTTAGGACACGAGAATACATCGAACAGTTCATCGCTGCCGATACCAGAGAATTTGTGTAGAAGTAACAACGCTCAAGTATTCGGGAACAAAAGAACCGCCAAAACTGACAAACAAACAATACAGACGACAGCTCTCAAAGAATTATAAATCGTTGGCAAAATAAGAGGAAACAAGCCGGGTTGTTTTGAACAGTTTTGTGCAACAGTTTGACGTAAACGGATCGCGCTAATAGGACAATCTGTCGGGGTGTTGGTTCACGTTAATGTATTTATGGATTGTCAGCATAAAATGTAAATAAATTATTAGGATGAGTCCGATAAAGGTAATGAAAAGGATTGGCCGGGGATCTATTTTTCAAGGTCATAAACTCTAAGCAGATGAGAAGGGGGGGAGGGGGGCAAAACCACGCGGTCGGAGGCTGATGACCATCGACAGAGGAAACATCAACACCTAAAAACTCAATGCTCCGAGCGGTCGGTGTTGGATTCGACTGGAAGCTCAAAAAAAGTAAAAACTACCATGTCAGGCAGAGAAGCACTTCATATCTACGATGTGGCAGTTCGAGGAATCATGAGACCTTGTAGATACGGAATGAACGACTACTTTTTGTAACACTGAAAGGGGTATAGGTCAAACAGATTCTGTTGCGTTGGGGATGCATAGTTTTCGAACCCAGAAAGCTGACTGGATCCGAGTGAGGATATCGTCAACGAACTTTTTTTATTCATGCCAACGATTGTCCACACCCAGGGACCAATGTTAACGAGGCTAACACATGTGCCATATAGGTTCCGTCAGGAATGTAATTTCGTGTGCATGTATAAGAGTGGTTGTTTAGGCATTGGGTTCGGGAGTACCGTTGGCAGGCGAACTGGTGGTGGCAGACAAACCCTAAAAGGATAGGTGGACGAGTCTATCATGAAAGAGTAGGGAACTGCAAAATCAGACTCAAGAATAAATGGATGTCAGAGAAAATGAGCTGGGGACGAGTTGAATCTGTGGCTATAAACGCTTTGAGGTAAAATGCGTGTATGACTTTCGAATTCTTCCGGTTGATGGGAGTGCTGGTGCAGGAGTCGCGTTAAGGATAGGTTCCTACGTTTTGGTCTTTTCCTTGTACTACATGGCTCAATGATCTTTTATTAGACCAGGATCGCAATGGACAATGTGATGGGCTAAGAAAGATATGCGAGTGGGGCACGGCTTCACTGTGCACATCCAGCTGCTCAGGGTACGATACAATCAAGATCAGGAAAGTTGTTTGGAGGATATCACGCTGTTGGACAGGTAGTGGTGATCCAGAATTAACATCAGAGTATTTCCTGACATCGAAGGAGGCGAGTCACAAGGGTCTATGCTTTGCTTGAATATCTGACATAAAAGCGCATTCATATTCCGGTCCTTACTACCTTGGCATCAGTTCCAGTTGGGAATAGTTTGATTATCCTCATCTGTGGGGCCACGGTCAAACTCGTCTCACAACTGATAGTGGTACCACTTCAGTGGCTTTAGTAGCTTCCTTATTCATATGAAACATCAAACGGCAGCATTGGTCTTCCTCAATGACACAATTTATGTTTAAATGTGGATTGGTTTTCACCTTGCCTCCATCTCTGCTGCTACTACAAATACACCAGTTGAACTCCATCACCCCTTTCCTGCCTACGGTACGTCACAATCCCATAATATTCTTCCAGTCTGCCGGGATGGTAGGGTCCCGACGACACGACTGTTTTCTTGGATCAATGGTCTGAGGCTAACAATAAGGCGATTAAAATGATGATGATGATGAGGTCATTATATAGCAAAGCTCTTCGTGAACTGACTAGTCTGGTCTGCACCCTAATGATGTCACCTCAATCGGTGACTTAACGTCTGCAACCTAAATGCCAAACCCGACAAACAGGCCTGAAACCAGACGGTTGCCACGGCAATCTATGCCCCGCAAAATTGTCAGGATATGGTTTAACCGATTCAAATGTCATATGCACCCCAAAGTCACGTCGGGTTGCGTTTGGTAGGCCATCTTCATGATGATGCACTCAAGTTTTCATTCTAAACTAGAATGTTATTCAGTTCGAACCGTTCACAACGATCTTTCTATTATTATCCTACTATTATTTTGGTTTAATTTCACACGCGAGAAAAAAGCGGTGCGCCGAATGACACTCTTGAGGCATGAAAGGTGGGTTAGCGGTTTTCCATTGAGATTACAGTTATGCATGTTTGGCCGTCACACTTGGGTCAAGAAGCGATCGATAGTCGACAATAAATAACATCTAAGATGTGAATTCTTAGGTGACCCATGAAGTCGTGGACAGAGTAAACTAGTAAGGTGCAACCGATACCACTTGCCTCGTTTCAGATAACTCATCACCAACCTTAAATACCTCCCAACTTCCAGTTAATGAAAACTAATATAGTGGCTAGAAATCAGCGGTCACCAGTTCACCTGACCAGAGGCCGAGGTAGGTTGGTCTCGTTTTCTAATGAGTGACCACCCCGCGTTGTCATCCAAAGGGTGAAAACGTCATTAGCTGTAGGGTTAATGGAGTACTGCTAATTTATTCATGACCACCTTGAAGGTGTGTTAATGGACGGCTTCCAATGACACTGGCACTATGAAATATAGGACGAAGTACCGTGTTACGCTGAGACCTGAAGGAATGAACAAGTGACGCCGGTACCTCGCTGGTAAAAAGGTAATTGGTGCCAGTGCCCACTCTTGTTTCACCGTTCTTAAATTGAATGATGGTTGAGACATGCCTCTTCATGTTTGTCCGCTAACCTTGTTCCCTCGGATTTACGTCGATGAAGACGAAGAAAAAACGTTGGTTATTGGGACCAAAAATCCCGCATCTATCTGATGAACCAAGAAGGGCGAAACCGATCGCGGGCCACCGAAGAGTTTTCAGCAACCCCATGTTTGGACGATGCTGAAATACAGATCACACATCGGATATGAACAATTACGTGGGCATATTACCCATAAACTATCTCAAACAAGACGGTAAACGGCGTGACACGATCATCACAGCATGCAAGCTCGTTTGAATGGTAACCTAAAAATTATTTTACGAAATTGATATGCGTGACCTAGAACTACACAGGGCTCTGGTGAGCCTACCAACTCATACACATCAGATCAATACTTTTCCTGTACTGTTGAAATATGCCGAAACGTGACCAATAAAAACAGAATCAACAGAAAGAACGGCGAAGCATGGATCTATTTGCACAGAAGAGATAAAAATATTCGAAAACCCAAAAATCATTACTTAACCAAACAATGCTGAAGATTGGGTAGATTTTATGGCAACGACCCATCAAAATGTAACAAACGGCGCAATAGTCCATTCGCAGCTTGCATGTGGGAAGGAAATCAGAAGATAAGAACAATCATAATACAGCGTGCACAGAGAATGCAGGAAAATTCTCGTCATCCAAAACAAAAACAGACACCAAAAACAAACAGGGAAGGCGCACGCACACACGCCATTGCAAGGATGCCACCCTGAGAAGCTGACCACAAACACACGGACAGAGAGAGAGACAAATATAAGGACCAGCAACAGTTGAAATGAACTAGGACGCAAGTAGGAAGGGGAACTGAGTGTCTGAGGACGCGATTGGCATTAGATGTGTAAGGCAACGAACGAAGAAAGGAGTATGCATTGGAAAAACGAGGCAAACCATAAGGCTGTATAAAGCAGTACGATAGTAAATTCTGATGAAAATGCTACTATAAGAAAGCGGAACGGGTTGGCAATATACAAATGAGTAGATAGAGGAACAGCTCAAGTGATGTGAAAAACTGTACACAGCGGCTACAGCAGACCCTAGCCCTGATAATGCTGGAGAATCTGGGGAACAGATCAAAACAGAAGAGTTACACAATGCATGTTCAATGACAAGAAAATGTTTTTTATGGACAAGCATCAAATGAAAGACCGAGGAAAGGCGAATAGGAGACAAAAGAGTATGACAGAACAAGACCTGGTGAAGCAGATCAAGATATTAAAGAATGGGGATAGGCTATAAAGTAGGGGATACCATTTGATAGTGATCAACCATATTTGTACATCTGTGTGCAGCGATGCGCGTGACGAATGTGAAGAGAGGACAATAACATATTGACACTTGGCAGGTGAAATAACCTAGCTGAAGAATGTATGGTAGTGTACTGAATATGCATAGAACTGTGCATTTGTCCAATTACAATTGAAGAAAGATGGTATATAAAACAGACTGAGGTAGATGCAGAGGAAAATAAATGAGATGGGAGGATGAAGCATAAACCGGGATAATGCTGGGACAGGCGCTGTGGTCGATTAACAGCAAGTACGTGTGCGGAAAGCAGTGGTTGGTACTATCAAACGAGGTAGGAACAGTGATCGTGACTGACTAAAGAAGAGCTGGGAGTCCGAGGTGGGGAAGAAGAGGTCGTGTTTACTGTGGGAGAAGGTGTTTGGCGCTCTAAGTGCAATTCGACAGGAGAGACCTCAACAGCGTGCAAAAATGTGACCGGAGGTATCGTGGAGCAGTCGGTAGACGGATACCGTGAGGCGGAAGCATCTGACGTGGTGGGAGGGAATCTGGAGTTAGTCGAGTCAGCGTTCACATCAGTGAAACTGTCAAAGGAGAAAAAGTACTGTTGTACTGGTGGTGCAGATGCCGGGGTGAAGGTCTCCGCGACGGAAAGTCCGTGCAAACGTTCGATGCGTTCGGGACCAACTTGAGGTAGACGGGTCAGCAACAAAGGTGGACAGGAAGTAGAGAACTGATTCGGATCACTACGCATCTGAGTTAGCTGTGCGGAAGTCAGTTCGCTTTCATTAGGAAGGTCAGCGGCCCGACAACATATGGATGACTTCGTGCTCCGTAAATTAGACCCGTCACACTGGGATACGTCTCCCTTACGCGACCGTGCAAACGCACGCAGCAATGACCTCAAACGTTGCGCGGCGCTACCAACAACGTATCGTGCACTGCTTGGGACAAAGCGTCCAGCTGACTTCCGCCCGGATACAAAACTAGGCGTAGACGGAAGGTTTAAGAGGTCATGCTCACAAGGATTGCTGTCCGGACAGTTACATCTGCGAACAGATGGTAATGGTGTCAGTTTGCTTGACGACGCACGGTCAAAGCCATGTGGATGGTGTTCCGGGGCACTTTTAGTACGGTTGCAAACTAAGTTATCCTGGTGTTGACCACCGACCAAATATCCAGTCGACAACGATCTAAAAGTAGTGGGTAAAAACAAGAGGTGAGCCAACTCAGTTCACTAACAATGACACATGTCAGTGTGACGCAATCGGTCGGTTGAAATCGAAACTGGTTGCAAAACACAGGATCTGGTGCGCCAAGTCAACTCTATATACTATCAGTAAGGGCATCCTCGTGCTTAGCAGACAATAACGACAACAGTAATATTTGATGTTTACGAACTAGAATGCCAGAATAAAATCTAGCAACCAGAAGTGACGATCAGAGGGAAAGCTTAACGACGGACCGATACAACACGACCGACTGATGTCAAAGAGGATAGCTGCTACGATCAGTATCATTGCCGTCGTCATTAATATGGAAAGAGGTACTTAAGTGCCGCTGCACCATAGAATAAAAGCCATGCTGTCAGACAGATCACATGCCCATTCGAGAATACAGATGCCTTTGACAGAAGGCAGAACGGTCACGATGCAGCCGAATATGGGTAAGTTCGGTGCCGAGTGTGATTTAAACGGAACATTTAAAAGGTTCAAAATAGGTGCAATAAATCGGTAGTTCATTGTTTTGTCAAGTACGAAGAAGATTAGCTACAGTGTGAAAGTTGGCCAGAAAAAACACATCTATCCAGTCCTAAAGTAAAATCTTTCTAAGCTGTTAAAGTGATAGGAATGGACGGGGCATTGTTGGATTCACACATACCTATGCGTAATTATTCAACGACTTATTGACACACCACCAAAAGCAATGAACTACGGACGATGTCGAAATGCTCAAAAATTTCAAGTTTACCAAACACATCTAGAAGAGAGTGTCGCTCTACGAGCAATGCTGCTTAAGAGAACATGCCGGTAACTAACCGAGGGTTAGAAGCCAGAACACCGTTCTGTTGTTCGTGGCATGCTGGATGAAAAGAAACCCCGCCAACCACCTCCGGTAGAACAACTGGACCGTTATAAGGGTCGCGAATTTGAGTAGCAGGGATCGTTGGGCGGGGCGATCCACGTAACTCAGTGTAGCACATCGATGTTTGTTTCTGGGTCGAAAGAATAGGAACCAGTTCGGCAGCCCCTTGGTCTACAGATTCTGATTTGCCGAACAAAATATGGCGCGACTTTTCCAGTTTGTTTGACCTGTGAGGAGCCGAAGACGGCGGGACATCCGAGCTAGCGGACCAACCTTGCAAAAAAGCCGGGTTCAGGTCGAAAACTGGATACTTCGGATTTCGAATATTGCTCCCAGTCTCTAGTTTCATGTGACTACCCCCGTCCCCTGAAGACGAACTTGTGCCTCGTCGGAGAAAGGTATTCCGCTCCTTGTTGATAGCATTATCAGCAGTTTTATGCCGCCGTCTTCCTGAAGGGTATGAAACATCGGCAGCTAAAAGGCGCAGTGCCGCCGAAGTTGCCTCCGGAAAGGAGTCTGCGGAATAGTAGGCTAGGGATGAACGTCCAGCTCCAACAAGGCTACCGGTAGTACTGTGGAATCCACGTACGGCAGCAAGGCCAATCGTACCAGTACTGTGGTTGTTTGAAACAGTGTCCGTCACATTCACAGCGCCAGCCATATTTGTGCCGGGATTAGGGCCATCTGAGACGAGTGCATTCTCAGACATCATGCAGGCGCCAGCTCCAGGTTGAAACTGTTAGAATGGAAGCGAGAGTGCGCGAGGTGGTCAAATATCGACCAAGCAGTATTTCGCATCAAAAGTAACAATAGTTAATTAGTAACGAAATCTACAGTTTCAGCAACAACGTGATACTGGGGGGGGGGAGGATAACCGGGCGGACTAGGCTATATTTGCAGAACTAAAAGGTTCGAGAATAGAGTCCGCTCCCAACGTCCACATTTTCTGCAAGCGTGGATGGCTCGTCCGCAGGAATGAAGCAGCAGCCGTAAAGTGGGATACAACAAGTGTTAAATACCGACATCCTGGCCTTGCCGTCACAATTGCTTTGAGTGAAAGAAAAAATTCAGGAGGCAGGATGATAAGAGGTCGGTCTAGATTTTTCTTAGATAAAAATGATGACGAAAATGAGACCTGTGAACTCGCACTTGAGATCTTTCGCGCTCTGTGAAAACGTGCCATCTGTAATTGCGAATGACAAAGCCCGCGTCTGACTGTGAGTGTGACGTTAAAACCTGCTAATTCTTGTGCTACCTACATGGACAGAGGCCACTCGTATTTAGCGAATATACACTCATTTGAAAACTAGTTTGGTTTTTTGAGAGACTCACCTGGAACCCAGCTGAATCTCCCGGTTGTGATGTTCTCTTAATTATGATTAAGCGCCCAATCTAAGCTACTCATGAGCAGTATGAAATTAAACAGTAGTTAAATATGTTTGGAAACTTTTCACAGTTGTTCGTAGGGTTTTGAATTGAGCACATTCTGCAAAGAACCTCGTTCTCCCTGTTCACCCTGTTCTTCTACCTACGTCCGTACACTTGGCCTAGTAAATCTAAAGGAATAGACCGACTGCCCCAGATAACCGAATTTTCACCGTTTCCATGGGAAACAATTGAAACAGGCCGAGTTACTTCGGTATAACAGAAGATCAGTGTTTCACAAAGTTCAAATTGGTTTATAAATATATGGTATAAACTGACTGCACCATAGGAGTTGTGTGAAATCTACTAGGTGACGGGGACCACAGGTGTTATCAACCGATGTAAACTGTGGATGAATAAGAGGCCCGAAAACAGACTGATCTATCCCAATCATAAAATGGGAAACGAATAACAAAACCAGAGTTCGAGACAACAAAATGCGATCGGCAGTCACGCTTAAGGTGAATCCTCTCGTCACCCACCATGGAGAAGTTAGCTTACAAAAACTATCCCACTGGGCTATCTGAGAATGGAACAGAAAGGCGGTAGAACTCAAAATCATACACATAATGCAAGGAGATGCAGGTAGTGAAAACATGTAACACAGGAAACGTACTGGTAGGGCATCAATTCTGCTAGTTGGTTTCGGTGGTTCGTCCGTGAGGAATGGTCGTACGCATTCGGGATTTTCTCGCAGTCGTTGGTTGATGTAATCCATGGATGCTGGTCTATGCTGCCATTGGAATTGACAACACTGACCAATGAGTGCAGCGCTGTGTTACATAAGTGAGAAAAGGGCGACAAGGAGTAAGCATCACAGCCAAGCATGGGGACAAAAAGAACTGGATATTGAAACAATGGGAGTTACTTACATAGGTGTGTTTATCGCCGCTGAAGGAAGAAAGTCCAGAATACTTAGTCGGTTTTGTTTCACACCCTCCACAACCATAACCTCATCAAGTCCTTCATAGGGGTGAACACCAAAAGTGATGATCTCGTACAGGACAATTCCGTAGGACCATAAATCTGATTGGACACTGAACACCCCAAACTGGAATATCTCCGGAGACATCCATCTGATAGGAAGTTGACCTACAAAATGATTAGGAAAACAATAAAAGGCAATTTGGAAAAGAAGCTAAACTAACGCCTGCTTTTTCATAGACTGTGGAAGCAGAAAAATGACTAAAAGTAGGCGACGTTTACATCAAATGGGCAAAAACAAAATGTATAAGAGGGCTCAACACACTGAGTACCTGAACCACTATGAGATAATTCGATGCAGATGCGTGGGCCGGTTCAGTCCTGAACTGTACATACCCACTATTATTCTTTAAAACACATTCGCACATGCTTCTTTTGTACTTACGACTGCACAGTGAACACTTAGAATATTCCCCACATAAGTCTTACGTTCAACAAAATCGCCCAGTATCTCTAATCCTGTCAAACTTTATGATCGATGGCAACATGGGACTAACACAACTGCTGAAGAGAAAGCACAAAAGTTTCTGGACAAAAGGACCATCCATCTCGGGCATTAAATGCCCGAGATTTTATCTTTTGGGATTGAAAGGGCGTTGTGTGATGTTTTGTCGCCTTGAAAGTTGTATGGCCTCCAAGTCGTGAAAGCTGTGAAATGGGTATGCTAATTTGGTCAACTCTGATGACCGATACAGCGTATTACTGTATACGACAGTTTTGGCGTACGGCTGAGAATCACGACCCCCGTGAAATGTGAAAACGAAGCGGTTCTGAATTTCGAGAACACAGGTCTCTGAACTGTGGCTATTATTGGATTAAGTTGACGAATTCGAAACGAATTTCAAATGGATAATCTATTGGACATCAGCTGCGACCGCCTGACGACGGTGCAATTCGAAGCGGGACATTCCAGAGACCGCCGTGTTTCATGCCTAAGTAGGACTTATACAGGCTTATGGAAAGGCACCTATGAAAGGTCAACGTACTTCAAGGGTCGGCAAATTTCAGTACGTTCTTCTCCCTATAGGGCGTACTACAAATAAGATACATGGTTGTGCATCAGTAATACCCCAATGTTCTTCACTGAGAATGAGGATTTTTGACGAGACCGTGGACCAACATACCCTATTGCCATTATAGACCGGGTCATTGGAGTTCTAAGCTTATATCATGTGCTTATACCCGTTTACAGAACTCAGGCACTGACCCCTGATAGAGGCTGTTCACGGATATGAACGATTAAATCACGGGTGGAACTCAACGACAATGGGACTAACAAAGGAGTAAACAATGATGAAGATACGTCTTGATTTACCACATGCAGATATTTACAGCTACATACCCATGGAATTAGCAAAAACCCTGCCCGCTGATGAATTCACCTATTTCGAAGTTATGCAGTCTACGACTTTTCCGTTTAGTTCGAGCTTCTTCAGATTAGCTTAATAAGAAATCGGTGCGATTCACTGAGCGAACAGCAGATTCGGGGAGAAAACGAACAGTACAGAACATTCCATACAAGAAATTGGCCAATGAGACAACGCTTAGCAGTGTTGTTTCCAACGCGCGAGTGTATTGCAGTGCTTTGGGTGTTTGGACCGAAAAAGGGAGACAACAATTACAGACAACTGGGAAGTTGTTGACCGACCTCACTGGCAAAAACAACGCGCAAACAAAAACAGAAATAACCATACAAACGCAAACAGAGTAAGGGTAAGAGCATTGCATAGTTAATTTCACCGTCAAAATGTTTCCTCTGCTAGTCACAGTCCTGTAAACAACATATCCCACTTTTTCACATTGGCACAACTAAGACTCGTTCAGTTGCGCTTCACGTGCCTGAATGTACCCAGCTGGTGTCACTATGGTCGTCCGAAGCGAACCAAGGGATCAACGACAGTTTACTCAGGACAAAAGTATCTTTGTAAGAGGGTTATGCTTCTTTGAAATGCTTGTGTTCCGAGGGATTACTATAAGTGACCCAGCTAAAAAAATAATAGGTAGCTATATCACAGGCATGAAAACAACAATAATAGGATGAATTATTACAGGGGTATCCGAATAGCTCTCGATAGGTAGACCATTCTTAGATGGAGACCATTTTGATGTGATTTGCATGACAGTATGTAAGCAGGACTGGGGACAAGTTATCAGTACTGACTCACACATTACACAATGCGTCATATTGTACAAAATTTTCGCTATATTTTGGGGTTGTAAGTTAGATCGTGCGCCTTGATTTTGAAAATTTCAAGCTAGCCAACTTGATACAGAGGTGAGAAGCAAAACCAATTAATCTTGAAAACAGAGGAGCTTTCAGCATCTCTACACAACCCGGGAATCTTTGGCCACAAGTCAAACAGCAAATTCCTCAACTGCCTGGTACGTCCGTCCAAGGGCAGATAAACCCGGTTCAAACAAGAGTTTTGGATTGCGCAACGGTCATTTACAGCTTGAACCTATCCTATCACAAAAATATCACCAGTAGTAAGTGTTCCCATTCAAAGGCCAGTCTATTGATAGGGAGTTTCAGAGGGAATATTGTTCAACCTCGATGTTCTTGAAAGTTGGATGAGTGTGAGTTCTCTGGATATGAAAAAACATTGACTTCATGGAGATAAAGTCTTTCAGACGGAGCCAGTCACACCATCACTATATCACAAGTCCTGGACCACGAATTGACGAACGGACAGTTAGAATTTGCCGGGGTTGTTAACCCTGACATCACTGATAGCATAATAAGAAAGTTTTTACAGTTTGTGGTAAAATGAACAACCACGTGAAGCACGTAAGCTGATCTGCTGAGAAAGTCGGCTGAACCTCCAGGTAGGGTGAAAGCTAGCATTCAATAATGAGATAACCGCGATCGTTTACGCTGATCATTATTACCTTTTGCTGGAACTTCTGGCCCAAAAGCCTTGACTTAGATCCCTAACTGTTTCTCATCAAGAGTCGGGTGATGCGATCCTCAATTATACATATGGGGTTACGGTGTGTGACACAAGAGTTATTTTTGGGTCAAGGATGATTGAAAATATTGCGACGGGTGCCCGTGGAATGGAAGATGCTGGTGGGTTGAGTGAATATGGCCAAAAAACGTCTCCTTTCAACAATAGCTTTTCAAACAGACTATGTCTGTAGGCAGCTGCATGGTACTTGACAGAGTTAACTACAGAGCAGCTGCTAACAAGCAGCACAACTATGCACAGTTAAATTGACCTTAACAGCATCAGCAGATAGTATTGAGTGAACGCCGTTGACTTGGTTTACCAAAGTACTAGGCTATTTACCACACTGCACCGTTTATATAACCGAAACTGACTGAAAGAGAAGGCGGGCTGCAAAGCAAAAACGTACAATTTCGTGTGAACCGATAATACCCCTCGGTTTCCAAGTTGCTCAATTGGCGGGTCAAACCGAAGTCTCCGATTTTAACCATGCGATCCGATCCCACAAGACAGTTCCGACAGGCAATATCACGATGTACCAGAGATTTGCTGTGCAGATAGCCCACGCCTTCTGCGATATCAGTGGCCATTCGAGTTAAAGTGGATGGCCGAATATCTTCATGATCTGGCGATCTGGCAGAGAATGGGAATGAGAAAGGTCGTTTTACGTAAAACACGAGGGCGGTGAATGTCAGAACGAAAAGGTATCCTATGGGTGAAATAGGAGCAGACGTGTGCTTAGAAATTCCCATCGTTGAGAAATATCTGAAAGTAATCGGTATCATCTGTTTTGAACGGAGGAGTGGTAATCCAACACGCAGATTTATGGCCAGAAATAGCCATGGCTCCTGTTACCTACCCCCGAACGACAATAAGACATGTCTTCACCACAGAATTCGGTGACATCAGTGAAGCCGGATATTTTGGTGCGAATGAGCGATCGAGAATTCGTCAAGAAAAATCGAATATACGACTCATGTAAAGCGATAACAATAGACTGCTACTACCTACCACCAAAAAGAGAGTTACTAGCTTGTTGCTAAAACTACAAGAATGCAAGTGAACCGAGTTTTTGAAAACATTAACATTCTCCACTTCGGTTATGCCAATGACGAAGAAATAGTGGTCTGTTTTGAGTAGCGACTTTTTGTACAAGTGTACCATGTGGAGATGGCTCATCATTTGAATTTTATGTAGCGACTTGCCCCTAGAGTAAAAGCAACATTCCCCACAGCTCTATCCAACCACTCCCTGCTTCACACATAAAAACCCGATAGACGTTGGCGGTCTTGCTGACTTCTCTAATATGACACAGTGTGAAAATAAGGTTTTCGGTGACTTTTCCCATCTACCACAGTAAAAATTAAAAAAAAATTGTCCAGCTGTAACACGGCTCCGATGCCTAGCTGACGTGCCACCCAGAGAAAGCACGAGGGCTGGGATACTGTCAGGTTGCCCAAACCTAGACAGAAGTCGAGATGCAGAGGTTGGGTTCAAACCAGAAACCTTCTAGTCAGTAAATTCGCGCTCTAACCACTGAGTCCATTTACCAGGTACGTGGAGACGTGGACGACGGATTTGTGATCGAATCAGCTCACAAAAACAATTATTTTCACATTGAAAGAACTGTTCGGGAGCATCATGAAGGTCAAATCCGTGGAGATTACCCCAGAATACCCGAAACCCACTGAGACCCTTGAGCTCCACTAAACGCCGATCAGAGCCTAGGATCGAGGTCGGACGGTGCCCTAGATAATATAGTGTAAGACAGCCTTGGATTAAAGTTGGACAATGCCTTTGAGAATATAGCGACAGAGAGCTTGGATCAAGGCCACACAGGTCCCTTAAAAATATACCGCGAGGCCGTTGTTTTTGCAAGCACTCACTTATTAGCAATACGGCTCTTGTGCTGCTCGCCGGCGAGTCTTTTTCCGGCCTTAGGCATTAGAGCGGGGACAGCAGTCAGCTACATGAGGAAGCACAATATTCACTATGCAGATTGAAGGTAAACAGGGGAATGCAAGCGTCGTGGACTGTGCGTAGTCCGTTGACCCGAACTGTGAATTTTGAGTAAGAATGTACTAGAAACCTGTAAGATTACACGATTTCGACGATGCTCTAGACGCGAGGTCATCTGATTCCTAGTTAATTGCAGACGTTCATACGAATTGACCAAACCAGGGTGTTTTCACACGGCGTAAAAGAACCACCATCCAACAGCTGACAAGAACATTTCCGGAAACGGTGAGACAGAAAAATGAACATCTGGTGGCCATTGAAGCTAAGTCGTACGGAGACTCTACTCTAGACGCTTCGAAACTATAGTGATCAAACGATTATACGAGTTGGAAACACAGTATGAGTTAAAGACTCAATCGAATCCAAGTGCCAAACAAACCCCGTCTACCAAACCCTCATCAGCGAGTACGTACGGTAAATAGCCGGACAGGTTCAGTCAAGAATAACGAGGGTAAAACGACATCCAAGTAACCTAAATGAGTTCCAAAACTTGTGTGCGGGTGCACTCGCATACAATCGCAAAATCGACTTTGATGATACAAGTGTACAGTCAAGATCCAAGGTCACATGCACTGAGAGCAACACCCATCTGGAATTTGCAAGCTGTGGCAACGAGGCCAGCTTATTATTTATCGTGCTTGAGCAACCAAATAAACACAGACCTAGGACACTCGGTGGGTGACCTCGGACATACTAAACTCACCGAGTAAGTCACATCCCAATCAAACGAAAACAAGCATACTAGTGCGCACACGCTCATCGTAGCTGACTAACAACCAATAAGGTGACCAAAAAATAACGCAGCACTTTATCCGTAGTCAACGAATTCTAAAAATCCTGGAAAAAGGTTACCCAAGATACCCGGAGAGTTGGATTACCATGTTATTTTAAAACCCTGCGCTGTGAATTGTTTCTTGTTGAAGGAAAGCACCAAAAGCTTGTCCTGAGTATTAACCCCAACTGTCCCATGTCAACGCAACTAACCCAAAATAATTCTAAGACAAACCGATTTGTTGTGATATTGCAATCGATTTGTGGAAACGAAATCTGCTTTTTAGAACAGATGCAGGAAGACGTTTGAACTATTTGAAACAAGCATGAAGAACAGACGACATTCTGGCAAGATTATTTAAACTCGTATAATTTCGTAGCGTTTTCAATCACAGTCGGCGTAGTAAATACGAATGGATATTCTGGGGAATAGAGAACAATCAAATGACACGAAACGAATATGGGAAAAGGGTGAAAACCAAAGTTAGGGACTAAGGTGTGAACGCAAAAGGTAGAAACAAGAAGCTACAAGAGGTTATCTATAATCTTCCGTATATAGAGATGAGGGGACGTGGAGACAGTGTGATACGACATATTGGAGAAGGGGTAGGGAGAATGTTAATTTTGAAACCGCCTCCTGCAATCAAGCACAGCCTATCCTCAACACAGAACGCACTTCTCTGGTGGCCGATCGTCTAAAACGTATTTGGTGTCCCAGCACAACCGGCACCCGGATGCGTTGTAATAAATCTCCCATCAGCTACTCCAAGTAAGCATTTTGAAAGTGCCTATGTAATATTGCTTTTATAACTTACGTCTCCCTCACGTCCATCTGTATTCGTAGAAACAGGTAGTCCGAAAATGCAAGATATCTTTGAATGACGGAACGAGAAGTCTCGTTGTTTTGTAATAAGAGACCAGGTCACTTGTTTAAGATCTGTGCTACACAGCATATTTGGTCAGAAAGTCAAATGGGTTTCTCGTGGATACACATGAGAACTGCCAGAAATTGAACACAATGGCGTCTGCTTCCGATGGATTAATGGCACCCGATACTGATCAGAACACAACCGCGAGACGTTCTGTAGTTAGCCATGAATTGACTTTACTTCTCTATATAATGATGTTCGGCGAATGTACATTCTTGCACCAACGCAGGTTTAACACATCCAAATTCCCGGTGCGCTAAAGTACTTTGGTTAGTTTTGGTCCACCGAAATTCACTTCTAGTAGCTTCGTAGGCTCCGTTCTCTGACAAGTTCAGAAAGCTAAGGCGGATCTGTCGAAATTTCGCAAAACAGACCATCGTCGCCGCCACGTTTCTATGGAAGAAGTTTATCGTAAGGTTGGACAGCTTTGTATTGAGGTGGCCCTTAAACATCGATAGCAGCATCTGGTATCTGTATTCATGGCCTAGTGAGAGGATCACTTTGCGTTCCGTTTGACGGTAACCTTCAGCAAGGTCGTCCTCAATGGAGTGAGTGACGTGAGTCACGTTAAATTATTATAGTATATTATAGTACATAATATTATTACACACGATAGCACTCACACTTGCTAGAGAGTGGGAAGGCTATGACGAGGCCAGCTATGGACGACTGAAGCACAAAAATAGGCAAACTTACTGTTGTGCCATAACACGGCGAGAGAGCAGATAGGTCCGCAGATCTCCTAGAAGCATCACTTCCATAATAAGATACAGATGATTCTCCGGTGGATGAAGACATATCCCGATGAGTCGGACAACATTCTTGTGGTCTAGATTGCGCATCAGTTTTGCCTCGGATAGGAAATCTTTCTTCCCTTCATAGCTGGCTTTGCTGCCAATAACCTTGACAGCAACTGCTTCCCAGGTGCCTTTACGTTTCGCTTCGCCACCGTACACCATGCCGAACGCACCCTGTCCAACTCGTCGGTTGAGATAGATATCCGAAGCTGGGATCTGAGTTGAAGCAAATTGAGCGAAATTTCATGAGAACTGCAATATTGCCAGAGACAGTTTGCGCACGAAAAGCTTATTGTACAAAGCGCTAAAAATATGGCTCTGCTGTTCACCTCATCCATTGATTGAGCGAAGACTTGCCTGATACCCAAATTCCGTTGCAACTTATGAGACGGAGCCCCATCTTATCTATCCATTTTCGAGCAACTGCAGGCGGTTCGTCTTGGCTAATCATTCCTGACCTTCAAATCTCTATTCAGATGAAGCAGATTACTTAGGCGCCACTGTCACAATAAGTTCTCTTCTGACATAAGCTCTCCCATCCATCTGAGTTGCCCAGATCAATCTTAGCTGAACTGTTCGATTTTGGAATCCCTTTAGCTTAGCTGCGACCTTTAAGGTTGAGTTGGGCGTGCAGCTGAACAAAATATCTTAGATCTGCGTCATATTTTAATTTTTCCTGCACTTTGAACATAAGGCAGAGGTGACAAGTTTTCCGTTCCTCCGGAAGCTACGCTCAAGTTTGACAAAAAATTATACCAGTTAGCCCAAGCGAGCAGTTTCTCAAAGAAACTTTCATGTTCTAAAGAAATTATGTTCGCTTAGTTTGTCACAACGTCCATACCAGCAGCCTACTCGAAGAATAGGACCCAAAAGATTGTGCACAAGCCTGTGTCAATAGAAACTATTTTCGTAATGTGCCGAACCCGCCTATGGGAAATATAAGATCTCAACCTCGGAAGGGACTCAAAGTTAGAATGAACGTAAAACTGTGATCAATACCACTACAAGTACATCGAAACCACAGTCGGACATAACAAATCGCATAAAAGATAACTCATAAACCCTCTGATTAGAAGTTCCAGCAAAGTTGATTGACTCAACGACAATGAGTAGTGATTAGCACTAACTGTTCACTTAGATACCTAATAAGCTTGGATACAAGGCATCGAATTCGCTCAGTGCACACAAGTCTAACTTGTGTGACACAAGAATCCACTGTTAATGTTCACTGTGACAGCGAAACACACAAACCGATGGCAGTCCACGGCGCGAAAAACGGCGCCACGTGAGTCTGAATGGGAGTAGAAACACAAAAGACAAGGCGGTCAAAAAATGAAAAAAGTGGCTTGCTTCCGCGTCAGCCGATCAGCATTAGATGCAAGTTGGAGCACGTGATCAGTCGCTGTCTGCGATCGACACGTGCGTTCTCGCATCAGCGATCAGTAGCACGGGAAATGGATGTCCTACAAATTATCGCACACAAGCAAGTTCACTAAAACAACCGTATCGAACTTACATCAATATCAGCTAGTTCAGCACATAGTTCTTCGTAAGGCTGGCGAATGAGACGTTCGGCTTCCTTGAGTTTCCGTCGATAATAGACGATAAACAGAGTGAAAAGTGGTAACGCGATAAGCAGAACCAGACTGATGAAGAAAAGGACAACTGCCGTGGGACAATTGACACCAAGCAGACGGCTAATCCAACCAACCATACAACCTTCGCCGGTGTCTGAACCATCGCCCGGAATTCCACCGTTTCCTCCCCAATGAATATGACCGAGCCATTTTTCGCTCACAAAACGATTGAAGTCATCTAGCGAGGGCAGTTCACTCGGACCGGTCAAACCGTATGGAAAGTTGTGGGAGGTCGGGTTCACAAAAATTGCTGCAATGCTTTTGGTCGTATTAATCTGGCGCTGTTGCAGGAGCCAGAAGTCTGCATTGCGGTCATGAAAAACATTGAACTGGAGGTAGGAAATCTCTTGGCTACTGTTCGGGTGGGACCCATAAAAGGAACCTGTAGGACGATCGGTTGAGAAGCCTATGGCTTCTCGGCTGGCATTTCGAGACCACTTATCCTCGAACAGGGAGTAGACTATTCGGGTTTTTGAAACAAGATCTCTATAAGCCGCAGCTGTTGCCGGACCTTCGAGGACGGAGATGGCTCTGGGATGTTTTTGCAAAAGGACCACCAAGGCACGAGCGAGGACAATGACGGACTCGTAGGTGTAGATATCGTAATCATGATAGCCAGGGATGTAGGGACCGTTTTGTGGCCGCATGGACGCGTGCAGAGAAGGTGCGATCGCCAACTGTTGAGTCATACTGAATGTCCAAGAGGTAATACTCATCATTTGGCTTTCAGTGCATTCGGCCGGCATCACCCCAGGCGCTTTCCACCATTCACCAACCAGCCATGAGTTGATAAACCAAACGTAACCTAAATCAAAATGTAGACCGAGGTGATAGGCCACACATAAAATAAGCGCAGTGCCACGTGCGAAGTGTTCAATGATAAAAATTCGACTGTTGTGTCCAATCATCTCCTCCATAATCTGTAAAAAAAAACAATGGGATGGTATATAGCCAATTCGTCCAAAATCACACACAGCAGATGCATAGTTAGCTTCAAACCCTTTCAGTATTGAAGAGTTTGCGATGTCATGGGAGTTAACAAATTCATATTTGCCCAACAGCAATCATCATGATTGAAAATTCATTTTCAATCCACCATCTCAGGTGCATTTGTGATGGAATAATTATTTTAGTTATAACACATTAGGGCAAGAAGCAGACACACCTGTTTGCAAAATGTGCACAGAGTTTGCATGGAAGATTAAAAAAAACTAGAAATCCGTCTTCGTGAAACATTTCTGGGTGCTTAGGAGATCTGAGTTGGGATCGGTAAGTGGCACATACGACAGGATGATTCGGTTTTCGTGTCATGCGGAGTGCAGAAACCAGTGAACCCTGGAACAAAACAATGGAAACGAACCGCGATATTATCAGCATCTTCACGCCTTTCTGAATTTCTGAGTGTCATGCTTGACTTGGACCACCAGGTTAGTTCAGCTGATCGCAGTTTCAGTTCAGAACTGAACTCTGGTTTTGACTGCAGGATTCTAGCAGACTCATCAATCAGAATATCGTTTACTTACAAGTACAATTGTATATCTACTGGGAGGACTTATTCGTTTTCTATATTCCATTTCTGCACCCCCCACCCACATTTTCCCCATAGATCCTCACTTGAAGACAAACCGTACGTATGGGTGTTATCCGATAGAATACCAGGTCTTCTTCACGCTTGAACACAGGGAAATCAACTAAAAAACTGTGTAATCCGACGAACTGTCCATCGTGATCAAATAACCGGAATGCCATACGAGACTTCAGGAGCGAATGACGTGTACAACAGGGTAATAGCGCCAGACACTTAAGTTTTGCTCTATGCGTACGCGGGTCGGATCAGTTGACCTTTTGAAAGTCCACGATAACTCATCTAAAAATAGCTTGCGAACATGTGCCTTGTAGATTCGATTGAAATCAAAAGTTAGAGGCTGTTGTAAAAAGATTTTTCCAAAAGCAATCAGAAAATATCTACCGCCTTCAAAACCATTTATTCCAAAATGCCCCTGTTGAAATCTTTTTTTTTTACATTGCAAACCAAAATTTTTTGGGTCAGTTGGCTACCAGTCATTCAGTTTATACTTTAGGTTCAGCCAAATGGGCATTCATATTTAACACACTGGCATTTTGCAATTCCAAAACATTCTTTCTGGTAATTTTAACTGCATCCGTCATTTCCGAAACTCTTAAAGCAAGTGTATTTCAGCCTTCAATTAACGCAGACAAAAAGGAAGCTCGGTCCGTCACACTTGGACAAATTAGAACGGATTAATCACAATACAATAAGGAAGTATTAAGTGATTAAAGGCCCGCAGTGTCTATATTGTGAGTTCGACCCAGTGCTAGAGCGTGAAGTTTCTCGACGGACTGAACCAAACTGAGCCCTTGTTTCTGAGCGGTGAGTTGAAGATTGACAATACCCGTTTGTAGTGCCGGCCCGTGAGCAGCGAAAGACTGCCTGAATCCCAGATGAAGTGAATGTCTCAGTCGACCAACCAGGTCATGTGAAAGTTGGCCGTATGGCCGGTATCGAGTATCCTCGTAAGTCTTGCGCCAATCGTTTTAAATTTATAGTGGCCTATTTTTAACAAAATACTGCACTGATGTCGGTTCCCGTAGCCGTAATTGCCCAACAATTCGTCTATTGGGATTCGCCAAATCCAATGACGTAATACAAGACTGGTACTTTTCGCTAAAAACCTTCCAAGAGGTTCATTCACGGGCACTGAGTGCGTGGAAAATAAAGCTATCTTAAATGTCGAAATATGTAAAGATCAAAACTATCTTGAATAACTTAAATGATTACACGGCAAAGCTTCATAAGCGCTTTAAACAACTGCAACGTCAAATCGTCACTGGATAGTTGTGTGGTATCAAGCTCAACCCCCATGCATGAATACCAGACAATCTTTTCGATAAAAAATCACTTATTAGGGTAGCTCAGTTAATCTCGGAGGGTTGATAAAAGGTGAATTCATTTCTTACAATAAGACAGTTTTAACCAACTTTCCAATATCCCAGGCGCCGATTGGACACCAGCTTGATTCACAATCCAAGTTCATTATTTCTTTCAAGTCCCACCCTTATGCTCATGCACTGATGCGTGGAATAGCCACTAACCAGTCACAACAGTGAAGGAATTTCATGAATCAGCAGCCAGTTTTTCAAACCTACTGTACTACTTCGATGGTTTCGAAGTAGTTGAGTTGTCTATAATCCAACAGAATTTGAGAAGCGCGGTCTTTACGCACCGTAACAACTATGACCACCTATTTGCGATACTTGATAGAGATTCCGAAGGACAGGTCAGTACCAACGTAGTGCATGGAGGTTCCTCCATCACCGAATAGTGTACATTTTCAAGCCACTGACTACCCAGGGTGGTTCAGAAGCTAAGTGTTTGAGTGGCGTCGCAGACATCCCTCCTTTCGCTGAGTAATTTCGAATTTGGTTGCGCTTTTCGTGGGGCACCTTCAAGTTTTACTTCCACACATGTATATCCAGTGCTTAGAGTTGTGTCAACACTAGTCAAGATGTTGTTTTGGACTTCAGACGGTTAGCAAGAGAAAAAGCAACGAAAACATGCTTACTCGTTTGACAAACGTGTAAGTTAACTGGCTCTCGCTCATTTCCGAATCAATGATGATATCTATATTGTTCTTTTGAAATGCACCAGGGTTGAAAAAGTGTTCATCCTCGCGAAATACAGCGACCCGTTGCCAGCTCCAGTTGCGAAACACACGGATAAGAGCCATGCTGCACAGGTAAAAAGAGCCACAGGTAGATAACCAGCAACACAGATAGTAACACGGGCGGTTCTACACATTTTTACCAATTAAAAACACTTAATAGTAAGAAGGTGCAGCAATTTGCTTTATGGGGTCAGCTTCATGCAACTGGAGTGTGCACGGTGCCGATTCGGAAGTCATGTGGTGTGGCTCATCATCACCATAGTCACCAAGAGCATAACATCAGTGGTTAACACCGAAGTTCGCCGCCATACAACCATAATTTATCTGCAAGCCTTACTGCGAAGGAAATAGTAAGAGTGGATGCGGGACTCACTACTAAATCATCATAATCATTCCGAGGTGCGCACACCTGCACATACTCAGTCAGACAATGGACAGAAACCGACGAAAACGAAGCCAGTGACATCGATTAGCACGCATATGTTGCACCGTTTCCAACCATCCATACGGGGATCACGCGGGCATCTCGAAAGGCGAGTCGTGCCAACAGTACCCATAGCGAGGAGCAAAAGGCCCTTCGGTCAGATAACTGACAGTCAAATGGCCCAGTGACGTTTGCTTGTGCAGTGGGAAGGGGTTGGGGAGGGACATCGGTGGACGCTGAACTGCGCGGGCAAATGATACTTCCCGGTTGCCCAGGCCGAGGAAGGGGGTTTGGTTGAGGTACCCCACCTTGAGCCTTCGACTCAAAAGTCTGACCCACGAGGCAGTGGGAGAGTGTGGGGTTTTGTTCGGGGACCCTGACCCTAGCCTCTGACTCAAAAGTCTGACCCACGAGGCAGTGGGAGAATATAGGGTTTTCTTTGGGGACCCTGCCCGGAGCCGATGACTCAATAGTCTGACCTGCTCGGCTGCAGGGGGTTGGCCTAACCCGAGGGCGCAGGGAATAAGGCATTACTGTCTCATTCCCGATGCGGTTGCGCACAGCAGGTGCCTGTTGAGCAGCACCGGGCTCTTTGGTTTTAAAAGTATTTCGACCGTATTGGATAATGCGCCGGCGGGAAAACCGCCGTTTCGACAGTGTAGGACTACCATGTATGGTTGGAAGATCAAACCACTTATTGGCTGGCCCACATTTTGGGGATAACGTGGCACTCGGTGAGGTTTCTACAATCTCAGGATTTGGTAAGTATTTTTAGGGTTTTCCATATAAAGCTCTTTTATATTAGAAGATATCTTGCTGCCAGGTTCTCACACTTTGAATTGGAAGGACGACGATTCGAGTTGCGGTGTGCATGACCAAATCAGTTCAGAATTTTGATTAAACACATTCTTCTGGCGAAATTCCTGTTGATGGTGAATCAGATCCTCACATATGCACAGTAACATTTCTACCCTCCGGATTGCAGTCATTGCTTCTTGTGTTATACGTAGCTAGAAAAGCAACCTCTATTTCAACCTTGAATCTCTGCATGGGTCTTCTAAGTTGGCTAACGGCGACCGTTACAATCTGTATATTTTGGTCGTTCTAGTTAACTGAACGGGGTCAATTGTAAATGCAAATCTTCATGAATACGTCTAGAACATTCAAACATTCAAACAAATGTGGTGCTCCACTTTGAGGGACTTCAAAACACCTGAATGAAACAAGGTGCGATTTGCAGCCATTTCACTGGTTTGAGAGCTTATCGACTTTGTATCAGATTCGACTTGGTCACGTACTTCGTATGCCAGTCGACCGACTTCCTCGAAGGGCTCTTTTCGGACAACCATGTAAAGGGTGGAAGAGAGGCAGAGGCGGTCAAACAATGACTTGGCAGCGAAGCATGAAAGCCATTACCAGCAAACTCAGCTTCGCTGGTCACTGCCGTCTTCCTGGATTGGGACCCCGAGACGGGCCACATCAATGGATAGAGTCATTATCAAACACGGCCCAGTCGCGCCCTCAATGGCGCTCGTGCATCAAAGCTATTGCCTTCAATGCACAGCTCCTTTTCCACCCTCCCCCCAATTGACACCCCACTGACGGTGCTGGATTTATGCACCAATTTACAAGCTCGTGCGTGCAATGCGCAGCTACCTAACCCCCCCACCCAAATCATCGGTGAACGAAACTGCGGCAGCTACAATCAGTGTACGACAAGTCGAGCCGGTCGCACAACCGAATTCTCATTTACTGTGTCGCTGCGGATTCGCCCACACAAGCCATGGTTCTGAGACGATGGCTGTCGAAAACGTTAAGCTGTCGCCGTCCTGACACCCGAAAATGCCAGGTGCCATATTCAGAAAACAAAACAGCTCGTACTGTAGATGTTTTCCAGTCAATGTAACACGGGCCACCATAAACGGCCGGAGGACAAGTGACGCTAAAATCCCAGCGACAGCTGGAGTCAGGTTGACCGCCCTTTGGTCACCGCACAAACTGTGAGTTCGTTTCTTGAAAATGGGCGCTAGTATCCACTCTCCCCATGTGTTTGGGATGGTCATCTTCCCCTCAGATGCAGACAAATACATCAGACGAAAGCAGACTGAGGATTCCAACTCCTTCGTTGCACAGTGTGGGTAGCATGTGGTCGCGACCAGCAGCTCGGTGGCGCTTCAGAGAATATATGAAGCCATAAACCTTCGAGGGCGTAGAAGGTTCTAGGTTCTGCGTTCATGTTTTTGTTGCAACTGCAGTATTCAGATCAGTGTTAGAAAGTGGCCGCGAAAATTGTGGTTCAAATTGCGCGGCTCAGCAGTCGGTGTGTCCTTTAATGAGGACTGTCGAGCAACTTTAACCCTTGATGATTTCGCTCACAGGATATTTCCGAAGACCGATGGTAAGGATCAGTCGAAATAATCACCACGCATTCACGCTTTTCTCAACTCCTTCCGTCTGCTTAGCCTACTGTGTCTACCAGGCTTCATGGTGAGCGCGTACACTAAGTTTGACTTGGTTCCGATAAATCCTCGGGCTTAACTACATTCAGAACCGAAAGGAACATTCCCAAAATCGGGCAGTGCTACCGTTCTGTCCGATATCCAATGATTGAGCCAATCTGGTAACGAAGTGTCACAGGTGAAACTCGAGGCACTGTACACGGATGCAGCCATCACGTTCCAGCATGAATTCCCATCCGACGGTGGAGCAGTTGGAATAGAATCCACAAGACGATTCTGAAGAATTCTAACATCGGGATTTACCAGGCACTCAGTTGCAATGCTAATTGTCCACTCGTTACCCGGCCCTGAAAAATGAAGAGAGAATCGCCTGGAGATACGAAAATGGCCGCAATTCCCAAATGTGTTCCAAAACGAGCAAAATTTTGTTATTCATGACGAGGTGATCAATTTGAGTTCGTACCAGGCATGCTGTTGGAGGACACCACGTGGCCAGATAAATTTGTTATTTCGGAATTTGGTACTGCATCAAAACGGTCTGCGGTAACCACGTAGCTGGAGTAATCGTTTGACATTGCTCGTACGTACCGAGTTCAATCCATTTCGACTACCTGATTGAATTGCAAATGCTCAAAGTCTATCTACAAGTGCACCCAGATATCCAGCTAACACGAGATCTGAGCCATTAGCCCATGTAACAGGGCACTTAAGGCATCACTAAACTTGCCTTTGATGTTGTTAGAGGTACATTAGGCTGTGGAAAAATGTACAACAATGTGGACGATGATAAAATTCCCGCTTGTGAGACTCGTTCCCATGTTACCAGATGAACCGCACTAATGCGACCATCGATGGATTTTCAGTTAAGCAAAGATTCTTCTGCCTGGGGAATTAGGACGATGTCAACCTCTGCAACTCCTGCCACAGCGGTTTCTGGATACTCATAGGTGCTCAGCTGGAAGCAGTGAAGAGTGATGAGGAAGTTAGCTCAACCACTTTGCATACATCTTGAGTTGTCCTTGTTTCCGAGACACAGCACACATCAATGTTAAGCAAGTCCACAATGAGAGCAAGAGGAGATTGTTATCCTGCTTGTTTCAAGGTGAGAACGGTAAAAGCAGCAGGTTAGACTGGAAGTCGAGATTTGAAGATCGATTTCAAGAGATCTGAGGGTATCGGCGCGGCTAAGACTAACTCCAATTGAACGGAGTCGTTGGTCCCAACGACAAGCCAACAAGGGGAGAGTTACTTGTGGGGCAGATGGAGGGAGAATGGAGGCGTCAGCAGTAACCTGTTTTCACTTACCCGCCCTTTTGTATGCATGAGGTAAGTCGACGCGCCTGACACCATGCGACGGCCGACGTGGCATGACAGTACTTCTAGTTGTACGAACTGTGTCTGTACGCGAGTTGGGATACTGCCCGGGTGCGGAGACCTAGACAGGACGATTGGGTTTATCAACCAAAGTCTTTGACTCAAAAGCCTGACAACAGGGCAGCACTATTCGGCAGGGAACACCAGTGCGTTACCAGTTGCCACGCATTTTCCAACCCCGACCTGTCGGACGGGAAATCTATGTTGATCGGACTTCCACCGATTAGCCAATCTGGTATGAGACTGGGTCATGAGGCATACGAACTGTCACATAATAATGCCATTCAGTATGTTTCTGAATGTGGCTATCCAGTAACGCCCGAATGGTTGACTATTGAACCGGCTGATTTCCAACCAAACGAATGCTAACATGAGTTCATATGTCGTTGTTCGGTGCTGATTGTGCTCTGCTAAACATTGTGAAACGGAGCTTCGTAGTCTAACAGTTTCGTGTCTGCAGCAGCCCGGTCGTGGCCTTTAGAACGTTTCTTATCAAGCCGTTTCTGGAAAGCGCGAAAACCGATCAATCATGGAGTTGGACGGAAAAGGGACCGGGAACTGCTATTCGGGTAACCGAAACCAAAATGTCGGCACAGTTGAACTGGCAGACAGCGAAGGCTAGCGTCACATTTGGAAGATTTCAAAAATGTGTCTGTCATCGGCCAGTAGACACAAACACAACACTACCGTGCTACCGTGGTTTCTACACTTTAATAAGGCGGCACATAAAAGGTACACCAGCTTCATCTCTAGATCCTCCACCGATATTGTCTGCCATGTCTGTGAAAAACTGTGCATAGCCATTGGTCATAACAAAACCCGAAAACTCGATTTCCTTAAAAGACAGAAATGTATTGAAACGAGAATGCTTGAATCCACCTGCACCGACTGGACCTTGTAAATTCCAAACAACTGCTATACTAGCTGCTGAAAAGCAGTTTGCTGGAACACGGTGAACCGAAATTATGATACAGTAACAAGCTTCAGATGAAGTTAAGAAACATTAACTTCGACTTTAGGACATGGGAAAATCTGGCACTAGAGCTAGACATCTGGCGAGGGTCTACACGCAGGTGTGGCGCGTTCTCAGACGAAGCGTGTCCAGGTACTGGGACACAAATCATCCATTCATAAGAAACGACCAAAGAACCAACATCAGTACGAGCAAACTTAAGGGGCTAGACAACCTGTTAACACATTAGCAGGAGCAAAACCAGATCTGCGAGACACCAGCGCTTCCATCAGTTACGAAGCATTGACTAGTAATTTGAGGTGTTTGTTCTCATGGCGAAGAATGTAACTATGCTCCCCACTACACAAGCACCACGTGTTTGTTTACAACGGAAATGGTTGGTCCTGGGCAACCCAGGAACAATATGACAGTGAGGTGACATGCAGAATTATACTGAGACCACATTTAGGCCGCTGATGCATCTCCACTAGATAGTAATAGATAATCGTTCAGTCTTTGGTGCCTAGTCGACATACCACCTGAAGGAGGCAGGAGGTCTAGGACATTGTCAGGATTCCCAGGCCAAGACAAGAGAAGTGGAGATGAAGAAGTCGGGTTCGAACCACGGAACTTCCAGCAAGAAAATTCGCGTTCTTACCACTGAGGCATCTCATCCCTGTACAAATAAATCTCTGCAGGCCTCAGTGATTTTATGCCTCCTTCCTACATTCAACCTGTCTGGGGCAACCGGTGACGAGCTGTGTGTAAAACTCAAAGATGGTTTCGTAACCTGAGCGACCAGAGCGACTGGCACACACAATCGCCAATCACCAGAGCACGCTCCATTTCCTTAGCCCGCACACTTCCAGTACAATTCTTGTCAGCTGGCGGCTCATCGACTATGGGCTCCATCAGTCAGAATTGTGCGATAAGGTTTAGTAGTTGAGCCACATAGCATAGTTCCAACGCAATGTAACAAGCTTGATGGATAAACACTATTCACCAAAGTACTCGTAGGGCACTCATGACGAATTGGCGCTGGTGTCTGTCCGGAACCCCTTTAAGGTGGTGATCAGCACGCTGTGGTTGGCGCGAAACTTATCAACAGAATCGCATTCTCATTTTAGCACAGACCGTGGTTGAAAAAACTGAGAGTCATATAGTGGCCCATGCTATAGAAGACCAATTGCGGTAGATTCAATGCTTGGCCGCGGATGATCAAATAGTGATGCGCATGGGCACAGGAACCGTTCGTCGTTACCATTATTCGTTAATCAGTAATAACGGAACATTCCAAAACGACAGAAAAGCAACAGGACTGGTTTTCTATGATCAATTTGATCAGCTGTCGCTCAGTAACAGGTAAAGAATCACTCATCATCATCCCCATCATCATCATCATCATCGAGAGCATGACATCAGTGTTCAACACCGATGCTTCACTGCCGTACAACCATGACTTATTTGAAAGCGTTATTGCAAAGAAAAGAATAAAGGTGGACGGAGGAGGGACTTAGTGCTAGCTAAACACAATCATTCCGAGGTGCCTACACCTCCAGATATTCACTCAGGCAATCTGGATAGAAACTGACAACAAGAACGCCACTGACATCGCTTGGCAGCTATATCTTGTAGTGTCTCTAACTCGGCACAGTGAGGATCACGCGGTCCCCATCCTGGAAGGCGAGTAGCACTGACAGCACCCAAGCGTTTCGTGATCTCCTTCATACTTCTCTGCCAAGTCAAGGGTTGGCCACCTCTCTGTTTACGCCACTCTGAGTTGGGCATGGAAAACAGCATTCGCTTCGGCAAACGATGGTTCGGCATACGTAACACATGTCCCAACCAACGCAGCTTCTGGTGCACCTGAAGACGTCTCAGTTCCGCTGCTCGAATAGGCCAAGTCTCACAGCCATACAACAAAACAGCCCGTACTGTAGCTTGATACACACGTCCCTTCAGATTCAGGGATAAACCATTCTGACGCCATAGGTGTCTCAAGTTAGCAAACGCGGCCCGAGCCTTGCAGATTCGTGCATTCACCTCATCTGTCACACTGCAATCAGAACTAATACAACTTCCAAGGTACGTAAAACGCTCCACAACTTCCAGTACCTCTCCCTGGATTGTAAGGGGCGTGTTCAGTGACTGCACGTCCACAAGCATGACCTTACACTTTGTGGGTGCAAAATGCATACCAAAGGACGGGATGACTTTGGTCAGTTCATCCAAGAATACTTGCGCCTTCTCCTCCTCTTCGAACATGAGAACGATGTCGTCTGCATATTCCAGATCGACAAGGTTTTCTTCACTGGCTATTTGAACACCAGGGTTTTGGAGATCCTCCAGCGTTCGTCTCATTATTTCATCGATCACAAAGTTGAAAAGTAATGGAGAGAGTGGGCATCCCTGACGGACACCGCTTTGTGTGCGGAAGCTTTTGGAGAGCTCTCCGTACACTCTCACACGTCCGGAAGTCTGAGAATACAAAGAACGTATTATGTTTACAAACTTCCGGGGCATTCCTTGGTGGGCAAGCGTCTCAAGAAGAACAGACCGATCAACCGAGTCGAATGCGCCTCGGAAATCCAGGAATACTAAAATCGTGGGTCGCTTATATGTATGGCGTTGTTCAAGTACCTGACGCAGTGTGAAGATTTGGTCAACACAACCCCTACCAGGCCGGAATCCCGCTTGCTGCTTTCAGGTCAGTATAAGCAATCAGTATCACTTATGCGAAGAATCACAAACGGAAATCATTAAAAACATTAACACTCACTTAACATTTCGCATGGATGGAATGGTACGAAAAAAATACGAGTCACCGGAAGGTTGATTGATCCGATCGGATTCAGCAGTAGGGCTAACGACCAGAATTCTTCGTTGTTTCGCAACATCGATGACTGGTTCAATTACATCAGAACACAAGGCGGCTATTGGAATAGGAAACAGGGACAAATAAGGCTTGCAAAAGACCGTTTACTAGAATGACTTCCGTCGGGTAAAACTGAAAACTATGAGGCAACATCCGACATTTCACAGAAACTGAACGAGGGCAGATCCAGAAGCTTAACATGTCGTTAAGCACCAAGTGTGCGATGTCCCAGACCTAAACGATCCACTTGTGTGAACCAGTAGAATTATTCGGGTTATTTAAAACGATTTGCATTTTGGAAGGATTTGAACCAGTCTGTGAGCGAACAACTCATAAGCATTGACACCTCCGAGGTCTCAGAAGCAGGGAGAGGAATTTCAAGTAGCATGTCAGTAACAAAGCTGAAGAGAAGAGGCGAAGGAGTAACCTTTCCTTACACCATTGGACGTGGTGAACTCAGGTGAAAGCCTGGCATATGTTCGTACGATCCCACAGGAGTTCGCATACAGTGCCCTAAGAAGATATAAATTTGAAAGAGACAACTGTGGTCGCCAGTCGCCACCAAAGTTTCTGACGACCGACAGAGTCAAAAGGAGCTTACAGATCAAGAAAAACTACCAACGTGGTACGTTTGAAAGATTGGCGCTGTTCAAAAATGTTTCAGGATAAAGATATGGTCGATACATCCTCGGCCAGGATGAAACCTGGCTTGATCTTCACGAATCTCTCTCCCGATAATCCATCAACCTGCGTAAAATAATGCCAGAGAGCATCTTAGATTCGACCGATACCGGGCTAATTCCACAATGATTTTCGCTCGACGTTCTTGCTCCCTTTTTGAAAACTTGGATGACGGCTGAGGAGCTCCATTCGACTGGCATTCTGTTTTCGTTCCAGATCTTCTGCAGTATGGTTGTTAGACTGTTCACCGGGACCTCACCACCTGCAAAGAGTGCCGGGTGCAGACCATCCGGACCAGGTGGCGTGTCGCGCCGCGGGATTGATATAACCGAGAAAAGACAACTGGCTACATGACAGCATGAAGAAACTGGAAGCTATTCAGATGACAACAGACTCAAAAATAAGGCGCAAAGAAGTCAGGGAATAAACACATCATTCAGAAAAAAAGGGTTTGGGGGATAACCACAATCTTCCACATTTGAGGTACAGTAAATCGTCTGCGGTGGTAATGAATAGGCTAACTATTCGACTCGGGTTCTCTTATGGATGTCATTAGTCAACGCTTCACGGTGCGTTCTTAATAGTTTTGCTCACACGTTTAACCCCCACACATAAACCACATTAACATGAAGGAAGTTCAGATCCATTGTTTATGGCTACCGTTGACCTGGATCACCCTGTCGAATGTTTGAATCTGGACCTGATCTGAGTCGAGCTAAATGCTGACGATAAAAAAACATATCGGTCGCATCAACTAATGAGCACAGAAATAACGTTAACTCACCAATGATACCGACCATTTTGACGTCTGATGAACTGAACAGCATATCAAACAGATCGTTAACCACCACGTCCTTTACACAGGTCAAGTTGCGAACATCAAGTTGTAAGGCATACTCTGTGTTGGCAAAATAGTCCGAAGCATTGTTCACATAGTCCACGGCAGCTTTGGCAACTGGAACAAAAACAATATTAGTATTGTATTTATCAGTTTAGATGAACCCACCCTAACACCACGTATCATTAAGGATGAGACGATTGTAAGGCATATGGAATGGCGGTTGTTGCTAGGGGATCCGCAACAACCACAAGATTTTGGATGATATTCGTTCCTACTAAGAAATTCGAAACCCAACATCGATGCACCTTTTAGTGTGATTCCGATATGGAGCGGATAGACTCCCACTGAATACAAGGTAAATAGTGCTTATTCTGGATAAATGTCTCTATCATAGTCTGACTGCTTAACAGACAGGAGTAATGTCGTGATTCGTCAAGACATACCGGCTAGAACTTTGCTTCCCACGCTTCAACCATACCAGATACATGCACTGCGGATAATCATATCACTGGACATCCTAGGGTGAAATTATACTACTGGCTGAAATGACGGTACAAAGGCGGCGAGATTTTTCATTAAAGCAACGACGCGGCCGTCTCTCGAGAAGAAAGATGGACTGAGCAAGAGGCCATCGCTTCCACTCTAATATCTTCTGAGAAAAGTAAATCTAAACAACTCGATACAGCTTCAAGTGCATGTGTTCTACAGTATCCTAGTTTAAACATTCAGCCATCGAGCTAGGTCCGCCCCGTACCTGCAGCCAAGCAGGTGGGATAGTTGAATGATACTTAGACGTAAAGTTACTGAGTCAAAAGATGGGTAAGGGCTCTGAAATGTTCCTCAGATAAGTAATTCAAAGCGAGTTCCCTTACACAGACCGTACTTCCGTCTTATGCAGTCGGGAAATCTATTCAGATCTCCATTCTCAACTTCTTCCCAAACATTCGGACTATTCCTCCCAATTTTTAGATCTCATTCATTCAACAAATGTCCCCGAGCTAAACAAACACCCTACAAAGTTTGCAGTATATTTCAGTATAATCGGAAGTAGGCATATTCTAAAACGAACGAAGTCATCCTTTACACTCCGTGAAATAAACTTAGGAGGCATGTTGTGTTGTGGACTCTGTTATTCTCTCAAGGCGGTTTCCATAAAGGCTGAAGCGTGAAATCGGGTATCAGGCACTAGAACCTGACCGACCGTACCCTGGTGGTCTGTCTATCATGGCAGTCTCAACCTGGAGAAGAGGAACCCCCCGCTCCCACCCAAGAGGCGGTTCCCAGGGTTCGGTAGGGATCATTTGCTGGGATACTGATTGTTTGCCCAATTCATTCGGTAATCGAGTCATCTGACAGTCGTTCACCATGATTGTGAAATTGTTGTCCACTAACTACCTGGTCTCGTGTAGTGTTCACGGCAGATGTGCTTCCTAAGCGTGTATCTGCACTACGAGTCGCGTTTTTACATTGGTGAAAGACAGGTCGTTTGTATGCATGCAACAAAAGTCCTATTTGTGGCCTCATGATACTCGATCCAGGGTTTTACAAACGCACGCATGTGGTCTCAATCCGTTTATGGAGCCAAGGACAGTCGAAATGCTTCAAAAAGTGGCAAGAATTCCCTGCTAGCCGTGGCGTCTCTACCGTACAGGTTTTCTGATACCATAAGGGACAGTCAAATGTTAATAGAGAGAGAGCTAGGATGAATGAGCAACAAACAGGACTTAAAAACCAACACACTGTCACATGTACAAACCTGGTTCAGAAAGAAGGGATAGAGCAGGTGGCCTGTTCAGCTTGTCGCGCACTGTCAGTTTGTCCAATAGACGACGGTTTGTACATCATCTCTTAATGATGAGTGTGCTATCTGTTTGACCTATGGTGAACGGTGTCAAAACCTGCCCCTCTTGGGTCTATCATTTCCAACTCTTCCTGGCAATTATCAGAGAGAAATATTAACTCTCATTTGAATTCTGTCTCCAATGATGTAGCTGTTGGTCCTCGCGGATTTTAATCAGCAGACGGAATTATGCAGTTTCTATCAGCCTTGCTGCTGAGAACTGGTAACAATTGTAATGTATTGTCCAAATCCCATCAAAGAATAATGTTCTGAGCATCATCCATCCCAGGATTTAGTGCTGAGAAGCTACAGTATCTAAACTGAGGTTTATTAATTTCCCTCAGGGGGACATAAGGTTTCTGAGAACTGTTTGACGGTACACGGTCAGGTTTCACCCCTCTCGGAGCACAGTAGGTAGGCCTAGTCCCCGAGTTTCCGACAACCCTATGTTTTATTCTCTTAGAAAACTTGGATTTTGAACGCAGAAACTCCGGCCCCCCGTACAACATATCGTAAAGTAAGAGAGGTGTACATTCGTATATTATCTATACCTGTGTCGAGATTTAAGTCGGGTACAGGGTGAGCCGGAGAAAGAGCAGCATGTTGGGGGAGGATATAAGGCGATGTGCATCTTGCCATCCCGAATATTCATCCTGAAGTCACCGAACCAACCGAAAAACGACCACTAGTTTCGTCATGATTCATATCCGAAGCAAAATTAAGAGATGGGTGCAAAACACTGATAATATGATAGTGTTGATCCGATTTTCCATTTCCTACTTACAAATAGTGTTTGTCTCATGCACGGTATTTCATATGGATCAATGAAAAAATTAATCAATGAATGACCTCCCCCGATACATTGAAAGTCCCATAAAGTGCGAAAACGATCGAAAATCACTGTGTTACCATTCTGAGAGAACGGAAAGACGTTTCAACTTCCTTGCATCAAACTACTGAGATGCCGTCATTTTAGGGATGGTAGTAAACGCAAATTCTTTAATTGTGGGGCAATCAAATCATCCATTCAAAATTTGAATCTGAATTTCTCGTGACATTTTACTGACATCTTGGATGCGTTCAAAAAAACAGTGCCTCTTTCCTAATGGCTAGTTATATGTGCTAATGAATTTCTCCTCGAAGGTCACCCAGAATGCGTGTATTTAATGCAGCTCTCACCATAAACTACCCTGGATTAAGGTGGTGAAAGTTATCCGAAAAACTCTCCTGCGGTAGAAGTGGTTGGATTCGGCCGTAGCTGGGGGTCAGGGAGCCATTTTCACGTGGCGTATAACTGTGAAGATCACAGATGCATAACACGCTGATACGCGGCAGTTTAGTGGTCGTCAAAGTTCGAAATCGGCTTGCAGACGTCTCATCATCATACTAGGGCGCATCTTCGGTGAGCATATCAAGTGCTACCCGATCAACAGCAGTAAAACCATCCGGGTTACCAATAATAAGATATACTGCCCACACCACTAGTGTTTCCAGCACCTTGAACGGTGCAAGATGGCGTCGTATTCGAACGACCGTCACGCAGATACTTAAGCCACTTATAACTTGGTACAAGCTCGACGGTGTTGGCAGTGTAAAGTCGTCGGCCATACCCGGAAACGTGCACTGTGAACGCCACAGGATAAGACTAGATCCTTCTGTAGGCCAAGATAGAGAAAAATCATCCATGTATGTGCATTAACGTCACTTTATCGTGCCAAAAGATACTAACAGACCGTCACGACTGAGTACAAACCATGTCAACCAACTTGGATACTTGTATAAACTCATTGGTATCTCTTAACGAAACTTATCCACAGAACCTTCGAGGGTTTGTGTTGAGTACACGCTTTCCAAGCAAAACTGCGAACAGCACGACGCCCACAGCATCAGTGGTGAGCCACCTAGATGGGTAGAGATTTTGAGTCGTTAGTCATCTCAAAGAAGAGAGATTCAGATAATTGCGGACCCCCATCCTGAGGCATTATGATTATGTAGTTGTAGGTGTTCGATAGACTCACGATCACATTACTCTGGTTTGAACGGTCTTTCTGTTCTGCCGCAATCATTCTGGATAGTCCACATCAAAGAATAAAGTACCGGACTCGAGTTCCGCTCTTAGCAGAGCTCAGCAGCAGTGTATATCCTTCGTCGCGCCAGAGTTTGAACTCCGAACATCTGACATGCGAGGCAAGCTAGTTAAAACTACTCCACCAGAGCAAGCCGGAGGCATTTGAGTTTTCACTTCCGAACAAGCAAACTTGACCAGCTTGGACGATGTGCCTGGTATGCCGGATGCTTCGAACGACGATTCAGAAACCGTCCTCGTTATTAGTCAGGTATGGCCACAGGCGCTCGAAACCTGTTGATGAGGTATTCAATATGAACTCACCAGAATGATCACGCTAGGATGGCCGGACAACTCTTCGAACGAGCGTGAACGTGAGTACGGATAATCCTCGTCCCGTTCATTCACTTTTATTACAATATTTAATGTTGGAATCCAGAAGCAAGCTGGCCAACAAGCTGCTCTCGGGAGCACTTTTGATGCTTTATCAAGACGTTTAGTAGACTTCTGAAACCGAATACCAGACATAAGCATAATAACTGAACTTGAGGCAACTCTGCTGTCTAAATGCTATCGAATCACGCCCCAGTCGGTTCTTCAGCTACCATGGTTGGTTGCGTCGGTGTTGGTCTAGCTCTCAGCTCCCAAGACGAAACTTCCTTGATTAACTGGGTACTTGTAAACAGTCGCCTCCGTGCTGTTTGTCTAACTGACTTCGTAAGGACTAGCACCGGTCGAATACCAGCTGTCCATGCATCAGTTAACTGGACTTTGATTCTGTGGAAGAAACTTTCTATCTGCCACGACAAATTCATAAATAGTCTTAATCGCGCATTCTGAGCAGCACCACACTCCCTAGTTTGGAAAGAAAGGAGATTGCACACGTCCTCAAAAAGACCTGAACGTGCATGTATACCATGTCTCAGGTTTCCGGACATCAGCCAGCCACGGGTGCACGCATATGACAGAAATTTCAGTAGTCTGCGAGAAGCAAACGTGAACATCAGGATGGTCCACTGAACCATAACTGGACAGATGTCCCAATAAATCGAACGTCGAGTAACTGAAACTGCATGGATTCGGGTAAACGATCACCGCATCGCAACTGGTACAACATAAAAAGAATATTGTCTCTTCGAATAATTCGGATTATTGTCCATGGGTACCAGGTATCCATCCTGGAAGGCGAGTAGCACTGACAGCACCCAAGCGTTTCGTGATCTCCTTCATACTTCTCTGCCAAGTCAAGGGTTGGCCACCTCTCTGTTTACGCCACTCTGAGTTGGGCATGGAAAACAGCATTCGCTTCGGCAAACGATGGTTCGGCATACGTAACACATGTCCCAACCAACGCAGCTTCTGGTGCACCTGAAGACGTCTCAGTTCCGCTGCTCGAATAGGCCAAGTCTCACAGCCATACAACAAAACAGCCCGTACTGTAGCTCGATACACACGTCCCTTCAGATTCAGGGATAAACCATTCTGACGCCATAGGTGTCTCAAGTTAGCAAACGCGGCCCGAGCCTTGCAGATTCGTGCATTCACCTCATCTGTCACACTACAGTCAGAACTAATACAACTTCCAAGATACGTAAAACGCTCCACAACTTCCAGT